GATCTTGGACCTGTAGGAACCAGGATGAGGCCCCTCCAAGATCTTGGACCTGTAGGAACCAGGATGAGGCCCCTCCAAGATCTTGGACCTGTAGGGTTTTATCTGGGTTCTCTGGTGGTCTAGGTAAGCAGCTGGCTTCTCTCTCCCCGATGACCTAGCAGGTCCAGGAGGAGTGGGCTGTGTGAGCAGTGTGAATTTTCTACTTGCTCTAAATAAGAATGCCAAAGGAGTGGGGGAAATTGATTGTAAAATGAGTTATTTCACAGATGTAGCTGAGTGGGCTGAACAGTAAAGATAGTGGATGTTAAAACAAAAAGTGGAAATAATATTGCCAGAACCACCTCACTCCAATTCCCCAAATGAAGGACTAAGAGATAAAAAAGAAATAGCTGTTAATGTTTTTAAGAGTCAGGATATATGAAGATAGCAGAAGTGAAGTATTTCTACAAGTAGGACAACAGCGGAAGGTGGGTTTGGCCATGAGGTTTGGGTATTTCAATTTCACAAACTGCCTCACTCATCTTAGCAGGCCACTGATACAATCCAAGGAAGTTTATGAGCAATGTATGTATGCATGTATACACACACATTCACACAAACATATACCTGGGAAGGGCAAATGCAACCTGTACGCACCCCCCACAGATAGTCTGGCATCTGACCTTTGTCTGGCATGTACATTTTGTGATTTATTTCTTTTAAAAGTTTTATTGAGGGCCCTCCCTTGTGGCACAGTGGGTTAAAGCACAGCACTAAGAAGCTAAAGCCACTGCAGCACGGGTTCGATCCCTGCCCTGGAGGTGACCCACATGGCCCGGCAGACCTCTCCTGACCCGCCTGCTGCTCCCCTCAGCAGTGCACTTCGATGATCTGCCTGTTCTGCTTTCCACTCTGTCTCTGGTGAATCCTCTCACTGCTCCTGCACCTCTGACCTGTACCCCAGTTCTGTATGCATAAGTAAATCTTTAAAAAAATTCATTGATTTATTTCCCTGACCTTTTGTGGTTTAGATGGTATATTTTTGTAATGTGCATTTTACCATGAGGAAAAAAAATAATTTTCGACTTGGGGCAAGAGGCTCCTCTGAGTTTCTAAGTTCCTTATTTGTTGACTCTTTTCTCAGCCTTAGGGGTAGTGACCACGCTCCACATTTACTATTAAAAATTATTTTCTATTGTGCATAAACATAAAAAAAAATAGTATCTTAACCATCTTAACCATCTTAAAGTATACAATTCAGTGGCCTTAAGTAGGCTTACAAGATTGTACAAATATCATTGGCCCCATACCCAGAGCTTTTTATCACGCCAGAATGAAACTCTGTCTCATCAAACATGTAGCTATCACTTCTTTTGTTCTGGGAGTGTGATTGTCACAGGAACCTGCTCCTGTGGGGAAGAAGCGAACTCTGTTGAGAGCTCACAGCTGTCCCCTCTGCAGGGACAGAGACACCGACTGGAACTGAACTGTGCTAATTTTCTAGGGCTGTTCCCAAGTTACCACAAACCGGGTGGCTTAACACAACTGAAATTTATTCTCTCACAGCTCTGCAGGTTAGACGTCCACAATCAAGGTGCTGACAGGGCTGGTGGGATTCTCCTCAGCCCTCTGGAGGGAAATCTGCTCTGGGCCTCTCTCCTAGCTTCTGTGGTTGTTGGTAATCCTCCTCATTCCTGGGCTTGTGGTGGCATAACTCCAGCCTCTACCTGTCTTCACATGGTCTTTCCTGTGTGTGTGTCTCTGCCTTCTCTTCTTATAAGGACATGAGTCATTGGATTAGGGTTCACTGCAATCTTGTATGAAGTCACTTTAAAATAATTTCATCTGTAAAGAACTTTCTTTAACAACCACATTCACAGGCACTGGAGATTAGGACTTGAGTACATCTGTGGGGGCATCACAATTCAATCCGGAACAGGAGCTATCACCAATGTGGTAGCAAAGAAATGAGGTGAACAAGGAACCCTGCCTACCGATAGGTCTATTTTGAAGGAAAAAATAACGATCGTTTTCTTTTGCCAGCCTTGCAGTGTGCCTCCAGCACTCTCTATTGGCAGAGTTTAACGCCCAGCCAGTTAGTCGGGGGTGGAGAAATGTAGCTTGCAAAGGACAGTTCTCCAGGGTAAGGAATGGTGTGTAGCTCATACGATATAATATCGTAACTGATAGAGTCATAAGCCAAGGTTCTACCTGCTTGGAAGTAAGTCTCCTTTGAGCTAGTTTGATCTTGACTATGAAGTTCTAAAGCAGCTGTGGGACTATTGCCTGGGAAGGGAAAAATCCAAGTAAGGAGATTTTTAGACTAAGTTCCTTGGCTAAGTTCCACAGACTGTAGAGAGCTGGAGGGCATGATAGGGGAGGGAAGGATGAAGCTTCAGGTAAAAGGACTAGTATAAGCAAGAAAAGAACATGTGAAGAGCTAAACTGTCACAGAATCCTGAAAGTCATGTTAAGGTATTTGATCATCTGAGGGTAAAGTTGGGTAAAAGTAACATGACCAAATTTGTAATGTTGAAACCCTCTTACCTCAAGGCGGTATGAAAACTTCTTCCTTTAAGGACTTCACAAGTTCCTTATTCCTGAACTCCCCCTCACTCTCATCCCTCAAGTCATCCTCTATTTGCCTTTCAAAGTCAAGTTGGATATTAATTCTCCCTGGAAGTTATCCTAAGTCTAATAAGGTCTAATAAGTTAGGTGACTTTCTTAACATGTATACACATACAGATAACACACACATGCATGTAGATATACAGGGCATAACATAAATGTTATAAATCATTCTTATTTTTTTAATTTAGCTTAGAATTTGTTTGCTATTGTCATCATTCCCTGCCAGAATATTTTCTCTGTGAGATGGAAGATCTCATCTACCTTGCTCAGCACTATGTCCCTGGTGCCTACATTAGTACATAGCTCATAATAGAAACTCAGTAAGAACTTACTGGATACAGGATTTTTTTAATTACAAAGTTTATTTTTACATCATTTTGCACATTTTTTTTTCCCATCTCGATTGTAATCCCCGCGGGTTTCCCATCAACAAATCACCCCTGTGCCACCACCATAGTCCCGTGATACAGGATTTTTTTTGAGGCAAAGTTTCTCATGTTGCCATAAGCCTGTGCAATACGTCAGACATTATTACACTAAAAAATATTACTTGTTTATCTGAAATTCAATTTTAACTGAGCAAACTATTTTTCTGGCAAACCTACACTCAGGATATGATTGGGAGTAGCTAGAGACGTTTTTGTGTGTCAAAACTGGGGTGCTCCTGGCCTTTAGTGGTTGAAGGCCAGTGTGTGAACATCTCACAAGGCATACAACAGTCCCTGCAAGACGAAGTATAATGCTGTTCAAAATGTCAAATGTCAACAGTGACATTCTCAGTCAACAGGCTGAGGAACTGTGAACTTTAAGGCTCCCCAGTAGGTGAACAAAATTCATCTCTGAATTCATCTTCCTTTTGAAAGGCAGCAAAGGGCTTTCTCGGTGACACAGGGGTTAAAGTCAGCACTATCAAGCTGTTATCAGCCACTGCAGAAAGATGAGTTCAGTACCCAGCCAAGGAGCACATGGCGCAGCAGACCTCTCCTGTCTCCCCCGTTACTCCCCTCAGCAGTGTATTTCAGTCTGGATGTTCTGCTCTCCACTATCTCTGGTGAATCCTCTCACCCCCCACACCTCTGGCCTGTACCCCAGTTTTTGTATGCAAAAAAAAAAAAAAGCAGCGAGTGTTTAGTGATCTACTACACTCAATCAAGTCCCGAGGGTAGGTTGCTCAGATAAATTTGAATTCAGATAAACAAGCAATTTTTTAGTATGATTATCTCTGAGTTCCTATCTTGAATGCTGTTAACCTGACAACAAGAGACAACCAAGTGCCGCGGGTGAAGTCACGGAGTCAAAAGCGCTCTGCACACATTGGTTAAGTGCGTCTTAAACACAGAAACACCCTTTAGGTCCGACTGAGGAAAAACCCTCCCGCCATTGGGCTCGGTCAGGCGTGCAGGAACTTACCAGAGGACGCTGCGCGGAGGCGTCCTCTGCCTTGACAACGGTCGCCAAGAAAGTGGCTGCGGCAGCGGCGCCGTGTGCGCCTGCGTGGGGGCGCTGCCGGCTGACGTGGAACTGTGGCCCGGCGGCCCCGGCAGCCGAGGCGGC